GATTTGATAAAAAAGTTGACTGTATTTTAAATTATTTAATAATAAATTGTCACGGGATAGGTGTCAAAGTTTATATTAACTTTTATGTTTATGTAGCATGATTATGTGGGGCACATGGCAGTGCACAAGTGGGTCTCAGAAATTAGTACTAACCCGTGGTACTTTGGACTTTTTATATCCGATTGGATAATTGAGGATCTGGCCATTGATCCCCGGGTCCCCACAGTACAATAATTTTCTTTTTCTAATTTCACTTTTATTTTTATTTTTATTTTTATATTAGAAAAATAAGAGTACAACTGTTACAAAGTTTGCAGACATTTGAGAAACTGTTTTTGACTTATAAATAAATAAAAATAAACTATGAATAAATGATGAGTAATATTATTCACAGTCATCGACGCAGTAGTCATTTCATATTTTGGTAACGACATGTTTAATTCATTTCCGTATAGTATAATGTCATACAATTTATGGAGTATTTTTCACTTTATTTTAATTTCGGTTTAAAGTACTCTAAGATCTTGTTTGAGCCTCGTTTTGGAAAAAAAAATATATTTTTTGAAATAGTAATTTTTTTTATAGTGGGAAAAATGTCATAGGCTCTTTCACATAGAAAATTTAAATTAATTTGATTCAACTTAAAGCTTAATCCTCTTTTTGGTAAGAATTAAAATTAAGATTTTAAAATAAATTAAAGTCAATGGTGGGGATCGGCCTCCGAACCGTACGTGGAACGGGTTTCTGCCTCATACAGCTCTTAATTTTAATCACATATTTTATGAAATTCACAACTTTTTAATCACACATTTCATCAATTTTTATCAAAATTTGTAAATTATTTAAATTTTAATTTCCATCAAACAGAAGTTTAACATACTCCATCACGGTAGTATTATAATAAACGTGTCTTAGTTTGACCTTTAATTTGATTTAGTCCGAAGTTTGATGGCCAACTGCTTAAGAGTACGAGTCAAGCCCGAATAACTCGTTACAAGATGTGGAGAGCTTTCGTGTACAGATTTTTCCTATTGATCAGCAAGTGTGGACCTTTCATAAAATAAATTATTTATTTTCTTCCATTTTAAATTCAAAAAAAATAAATAAATAATGAAGATGTATGGATCGAGCTCAAAAAAATTTAGACACCTCAACATCGAGTTCTGTCGAACCGATTTGCATCTCCAGAGCCCATCCACAACGCACATAACCACGGGAAACGACACAAAAGTAGACCCATTTAAATAGAAAATAATTAGAAATTCTGCTTTCACCAACTTAAAACTGTTCGGTGGTTGGTAGCTTAAATTTAGAAACTTTTGTATAGGTAAACATAGAAGAAAAAAATGACTTCAGTTAGTCAAATATTTGAACTGAGGGCAATCAGATATTCAATATTTTATTAATTTAATATCCCCAACCACCCCATTACAAATCCTCAACAATAATGTACGATTTGTCATGTAATCATATTTCAAATAAGTAATTAAGAATAATAATTGCAAATAAAATAATTCTCCTTCAAACTTCAAACATTATGCATTCACCTTACGTTGAGTCCTTGCCACTTCAAATGTGGGGCTAGAGCGAAGAAAAAAGTAAAAAAGAATAATGATATTCATCAGCAGTGACAATGACCCCAATAGATCATCAACGTTGAATGAAAAGTCAAGGAGAATAAAACTATCTTGCACCTTGCATGGAATTCCTTATTGTTCTAGACCACATTTGTCTATTGGTATCTAACTTCTAAAATTTTCGAAGATTTTTCCGACTGTTTTTCATATCTTCAATCACTACTCTCGAATTACTCAGATACTAATATTTAGTTATAAAGTTAACGTAGAAAAATTTATAAAAAGAGATAATTTTTCCTTACATGTTCATCATCCAATTGAAATCATGATGTGATCCATAATATGAGGCCAAGTTCGGATAATGATCAATTAATCGTTGAGGAAGGGTATATGATTATGTCGCGAGCGAAGCGGGTCAAAGAAACAATGAGACTACTTACTCAAGTCACAATGAATGAAATATTGATCACGGTAAGCAAATAGACAAATTTCATATTGGACATGGGAGATGAAATGAAGTAGAACAACTTGATTCAAACAATGGACTGAATAACTATGCGACCGTTCAGGGCATACGGTCACATGCTCCTTTATCGAGCCCACATGGGAGGGACTCAAATGATTTATGTGACCGCATAGAATTACACTATGCGGCTGCATAGTGTATTTTCAGCAGTGAATTTTTCAAATTTCGCGCAATCTTATGTTTTAGTTAAAACTCTATTTTGTGATATGTTTTTGTTATTTTTAGATTTTAATTCTATTTTTACTAGGGTTTTAGGAATTCAAATTAAAAAATAGTTATTATTTTCATTATAAAAACACACAATTATTGAGAGATTTGTTGCAAGACATTATTGCTTTCTTCTTATTCTTTATCCAATTAATTTTGAACTTATCAAGATTATTTCTTGTGGCGTTCAAACAAATCGAGTGGGATTTTTATATCTTGTAATCGCGGGTCAACATATTGTTGGCGATTGTGTTGGTTCATTAGTTCAATATTTTTTAATCAAGATTATTTCTTGTGGCATTCAAACAAATCGAGTGAGATTCTTAAG